CTCACAGATTCAGGGACTAATTTCCTGGCAGGAACTATGGAAAACCTTTGGGAAGCTCATGGGGTAAATCACTTGGTTGCCACTCCTTACCACCATCAAACAAATGGCCTGGTGGAGAAGTTTAATGGAACTTTGGGGGCCATGATACGTAAATTCGTAAATGAGCACTCCAATAATTGGGACCTAGTGTTGCAGCAGTTGCTCTTTGCCTACAGAGCTGTACCACGCCCCAGTTTAGGGTTTTCCCCATTTGAACTTGTATATGGCCGCGAGGTTAAGGGGCCATTGCAGTTGGTGAAGCAGCAATGGGAGGGATTTACACCTTCTCCAGGAACTAACATTCTGGACTTTGTAACCAACCTACAAAACACCCTCCGAGCCTCTTTAGCCCTTGCTAAAGACAACTTACAGGATGCTCAAAAAGAGCAAAAAGCCTGGTATGATAAACATGTCAGAGAGCTTTCCTTCAAAGTAGGGGACCAGGTCATGGTCTTAAAGGCGCTCCAGGCCCATAAAATGGAAGCATCGTGGGAAGGGCCATTCACGGTCCAGGAGCGCCTGGGAGCTGTTAATTATCTCATAGCATTCCCCACCTCCAGCCGAAAGCCTAAGGTGTATCATATTAATTCTCTAAAGCCCTTTTATTCCAGAGAATTAAAGGTCTGTCAGTTTACAGCCCAGGGAGGAGACGACGCTGAGTGGCCTGAAGGTGTCTACTATGAAGGGAAATGTGCTGGTGGTGTGGAAGAGGTGAACCTCTCCATGACCCTTGGGCGTATGCAGCGACAGCAGATCCAGGAGCTGTGCACTAGCTACGCGCCGACGTTCTCAGCCACCCCAGGACTGACTGAACGGGCATACCACTCCATTGACACAGGTAATGCTCACCCAATTAGGGTCCAACCTTACCGGGTGTCTCCTCAAGCTAAAACTGCTATAGAACGGGAGATCCAGGATATGTTACAGATGGGTGTAATCCGCCCCTCCCGCAGTGCATGGATATCTCCAGTGGTTCTAGTTCCCAAACCAGATGGGGAAATATGTTTTTGCGTGGACTACCGTAAGCTAAATGCTGTAACTCGCCCAGACAACTATCCAATGCCACGCACAGATGAACTATTAGAGAAACTGGGATGGGCCCAGTTCATCTCTGCCTTGGACTTAACCAAGGGGTACTGGCAGGTACCGCTGGATGAATCCGCCAAGGATGAATCCGCCATTCAATGTAGGGCTGTATGAATTTAATGTACTCCCTTTAGGGTTGTGAAATGCACCCGCCACCTTCCAAAGACTTGTAGATGGTCTCCTAGCTGGACTGGGAGAATATGCAGCTGCCTACCTTGACGATGTGGCCATATTTTCGGATTCCTGGGCAGAACACCTGGAACATCTACAAAAAGTCTTCGAGCGCATAAGGGAGGCAGGACTAACTGTTAAGGCTAAGAAGTGTCAAATAGGCCTAAACAGAGTGACTTACCTTGGACACCAGGTGGGTCAAGGAACTATCAACCCCCTACAGGCCAAAGTGGATGCTATCCAAAAGTGGGACTGTCCCAAAGTCAAAGAAACAGGTTCAATCCTTCTTAGGCTTGGCCAGTTATTACAGACGACTTGTACCGCAATACAGCCAAATTGCTGCCCCACTGACCTAACCAAAAAGAAACAGCCAAATGCCGTTCAGTGGACTGAAAAGTGTCAGAAGGCCTTTAACCAGCTTAAAGTGACACCCATGTCTGACCCTATGCTAAGGGCCCCAGACTTTGACAAACTGTTCCTAGTAACCACCGATGGATCTCCCCATCCATCCATCCCCCATCTACCCTTCTTGCCAGCCATCCAACCATCCCCCCCATCTACCCTTCTCACCATCCATCCATCCACCCATCCCGCATCCACCCTTCTCCCCAGGTGTCCATTCATCTGCCCATCTACCCTTCTCCCCACATATCCATCCATCAATCAACCCATCCATCCACCCATCCCCATACACACCTCTTTATCTATAGGTCTACCCATCACACCTGATCCCTCTGTGACATTCCCCTCTGGTGTTGTCTGGACGAGTGATCTGCTAGGTCACTCCAATCCTTGACTTTGGGAGCCACCCCTGCCCTGCTCTGCTGTGAGACCCCCACTCCCTGGCTGTTCACACAAAGGCTCTGGCATAAAGAAAAGGAGTACTTGTGGCACCTTAGAGACTAACCAATTTATTTGAGCATGAGCTTTCGTGAGCTACAGCTCACTAAGCTGCTCCCAGCTACTTGCAAGTGAATGACACTAGCCAATATCTACGGTCCCAAACACAACCCTGGGAACCTCCATCTTGCAGTGTCCAGTTACACCCGCTGGACACTGCAAAATTATATGAGTTCGTCAATTTAACAAAGAAATTGCTATGTACCAGGCTTGTTCTCCCAAGGGGAGCCTCTGTCACTGTTCAAACCAAACTTCAGGTAGAATAAACAAACAAATTTATTAACTATAAATATAGATTTTAAGTGATTATAAGTCAAAGCACAACCAGTCAGATTTGGTCAAATGAAATAAAAGCAAAATGCATCCTACGCTGATCTGAACACTTTCAGGGCCCTTACAAACTTACCTGTTTCTCACCACAGGCTGGCTGCTCTCCCCTGTGATCAGCGCTTCAATCGCTTGGAGGTGGTGTCTGCAGATGGAAGTGGAAGAGACAGAGCAAGGCAAAATGTCTCTCCCTTTTATCATGTCCCTTCTTGCCTCTTGGCTTTGCCCCCCCACCCCTTCAGAGTCAGGTGAGCATTACCTCATCGCATCCCAAAATGCCCAAAGGAAGGGGGGTGATTCCCTTGAGGGTCTAACAGATTCTTTTGTTGCTGTCTCGGCCAGTGTCCTTCATTCCTGTGAGGCTGGGCTGGGTTTGTCCCACACATGGCCTGATGAGGTGTGAACTGCCCCTCTGCTCTTGGAGAGTTTTTGCCTGGGCTTATTTTAAGCCAGGAGGACACATTTTCAGCCTCATAACTATATACATGAAATTATAACCTGTAACATCCCTATAACAAATACTATAACATCACTATAACAACCATGCTCAGGGCATCATGAGCCTTCCAAAGATACCCAACATGACAAACTTTGCACTGGATCCCACACAATGGGGTGCTGGGTGTTCCCCCGAGGTACAGAATGCCACACACCCCATCTATCTTTCTCCCCAGTCGTCCATCCATCCATCCCCCTGTCTTCCCTTCTCTCCAGCAGTCCATCAACCCATCCCTTATCTAGCTGTCTCTCCATCCATCCCCCTATCAGCCATTCTCCCCATCTGTCCATCCCGTTATCCACCCTTCTCCCCATCTATCCATCCGCCCATCCCCCCACCTACGCTTCTCCCCAGCTGTCCATCCATCCGTCAATCTATCTACTCTTCTCCCCATCCATTGATCTTCCCATCCCCCATCTACCTTTCTCCCCAGCTGTCCATCCATCCATCCCCCTATTAACCCTTCTCACCATCCTTCCATCCCCCATCTACCCTTCTCCCCATCTGTCCATCCATCCATCCATCCCCCATATACTCTTCTCCTTCTCCGTCTAGCCATCCATCCTCCCATCCCCCCTTCTCCCCATCCATCCATCCGTCACCCTATATACCCTTCCCCTCATCCGTCCATCCACCCATCCCCCTATCTACCCTTCTCCCCAACTGTCCATCCTTCCATCCCCCACTTACCCTTCTCCCCATCCCTCTGTCCATCCATCCCCATCTACCTTCTCCCTATCTGTCCATCCATCCATCCCCCCCTCTTTCTCTCCATCCATCCATCCCCACCTACCCATCTCCCAGCTGTCCATCCACCCATCCCCCATCTACCCTTCTCTTCTTCCATCCATCCAACCATCCATCTATCCATCCCCCCAGCCATCCATCCACCCATCCCACCATCTACCCTTCTCCTCATCCGTCCATCCATACATCCACCATCTACCCTTCTCCCAATCCATCCATCCACACATCCCCCGTCTATCCTTCTCCCCACCCATCCCCATCTACCCTTCTCCCCTTTACTCCACCCTTCCGCATGCCGATTGCCTTGAACCAAAGTCTAAATACTTTCCAAGCATGACTGCAGAGGATTATCCTGGGAAGAGACAGCCGTAGTGGTCTGATTGTCCATGCCCATCCCATTGCTGTCATTTTGGACATCAATGGGTGGCCCCACAGGTTGAGGAGCTGGGCACAGGAGATGGAAAAGGGGGATGAATGTCGGGGGGAGGCATCTGAGCTGGGCTTTCCCCTGGGAACATCTGCACTGGAGAGCTCTGGTTTCCTTCCCCTGGTGGAGGAGCAGCCATGGGCAGAGCAGTGGGAGCGTGAAGCTGACTCCACTGCTCGACCCCACAAGTACGTCACTGGCAAGGCAGAGGCCCAGATGTACCCCTGATGGTTCTGCTCCGCAAGTGCCTGGGGGCACCCTGAGATGATGGGCCCCTTGTTTGGCTACAGGATCGTGGAACATGCTATATTTTCTGGACACCGATGTCTTCATCATGGCTCGCGGGGCTGAGCTGGTTCCTGCATAGCCGTCTTGTTTGGGTTTTATCGTTGGCCTCCAGGCCTGATCTAACCCCCCAGCCATACCCCTCAAGGCCACCCGGTTGCATCACCCTCTTCTCACCCATCCATCCAGCCACCCCCACAACCTGCCCACCTACCCCCTGACTTCCCCTCCACCCAAACCATCTTCTCCTTCATCCAGCCACCCCATCAGCCTTCCCATCCATTGACCATTCACCCCCCTGCCTTCCCATCCACCCAGCCTTCTCCTCATGTTCCCAATCACCCACTTATCTAGCATGCTTTCCCATTGCTCCCACCATCCTCCGATGCCCTTATCCTGGCAGTAGCTGGTCACTACGCTTGTGGTGTAGCTAAGAATTAGACCCATTGCAGAGGGTCCGAAATTCTTGCTCTGTCTCCCCCCAGGCCTGGATTGTGCCCTGCACTGCTTCTCGGAGCCATGAAATCCCTGATCTCTTGGATCTCTGTCCAGCAAGTCCTCTTGATCTTCCTGTACCTGCTGGGTGTCCTGGGCATAGTCTCCTTCCTACAGCTACAGAGCCAGTTCCCCCAACAGGGGCAGAAGATCGCCTCTCCCAGTGACCCATGGCAGCCCGCACCCACGGAGCAGGGTGTGTGGACCGTGAACTCCCTTGGGCGGCTGGGGAACCAGATGGGGGAATACGCCACCCTCTACGCCCTGGCCAAGATGAACGGGCGCCAGGCCTACATCCTCCCGGACATGCACCAACAGCTGGCACTGCTCTTCCGCATCAGCCTGCCCGTGATCTCCAGATTCAGGGCTTGGAGGATCCCGTGGAAGGACTATGAGCTCCACGACTGGATGTCGGAGGAGTACAGGCACATCGAAGGGAAATACGTCCGGCTGACGGGCTACCCCTGCTCCTGGACCTTCTACCACCACCTCCGGCAGGAGATCCTCCAGGAATTCTCCTTCCACGACCACGTCAAGGAGGAGGCCAACCGGTACTTGGCCGGGCTGCGTGGGCAGCGCCGGAATGTGACCTACGTGGGTGTCCACGTCCGGAGGGGGGACTACGTCCGGGTGATGGACGAGCACTGGAAGGGGGTGGTGGCGGACAAGGCCTACCTGGAGAAGGCCATGGGCTACTTCCGGGCCAAGTACCAGGAGCCGGTCTTTGTGGTCACCAGCAATGGGATGGAGTGGTGCCGGAAGAACATCGACGCCTCGCGGGGAGACGTGTATTTCTCGGGGGATGGGAAGGAGTCCTCGCCGGGGAGGGACTTTGCTCTCTTGGCTCATTGCAACCACACGATCATGACCATCGGGACCTTCGGGATCTGGGCCGGCTACCTGGCTGGGGGGGAGACCATCTACTTGGCCAACTACACCCTCCCCGACTCCCCCTTCCTCGAGATCTTCAAGCCTGCAGCTGCCTTCCTGCCCGAGTGGATTGGGATCGATGCTGATCTCTCCCCGCTGCGGAGTGGGACGCCTGGCTAAAGGAGCTCATCCAGTGGCCACGGGCTGCAAACAGGATCTACCCTGTCATGGACACACCCACCGGGCGGGCTGTGCTGGGGACATCGGAGGAGATTGGAGCTGGGCTGGTGGGGTTCAGAGCCCATACGGAGGAGCCAATGACCTACATCAGACAACTTCTCACAGGAGTGTCCAGAGTGACGGGGCCATCTCCATCTGCACAGTTGAATGGTTAGAGTGGGGAGACTAGGAGCCAGGACTCCTGGGTTCTCCAACTGGCTCTGGGAGCGGGGTGTGGTGGGTGAGAGCAGAAGGGGCTGGGAGCCAGGATGCCTGGGTTCTGTCCCCAGCAGGGCGGGAAGGCCAACCTCATTAGCTAGGAGAGGTAACTCTTGAGAAGTGTCTGCCGTTGTTCATGTTTTAGGACTTTCATTTTCTATTGTCACCCTTTCCTGCCATTGCTGCTGCTTGCGGACCCTCCCCCCTGCCTGAAACACACCTCCGTGTGGGCGACGGCAAGCGTGGTGTGGGTCCCCGCCACGGTGGGAACCTGGGGCACACGGCTCCTTTCTGGGGCAGAGGAGCTGGGATTTCTGGGAGTAGCCAGTGGCAGGGGCTGGCGAGCAGGCAGAGAAGTGGCGAAGGAATTCGGGTATCGGGGTGCAGCTATTGGTGACCTGCAAGGCAAAAGTAGCATTCCTGGGTTCTCTCCCCAGCTCTGAGAGGGGAGGGGGGTCTAGTGGTTAGAGCATGGGGGGGGGCAGGCTGGGAGCCAGGACTCCTGGGTTCTCTCCCCAGCTCTGGGAGGGGAGGGAGGTCTAGTGTTTAGAGCGGGAGGGGGCTGGGAGCCAGGACTCCTGGGTTCTCTCCCCGGCTCTGGGAGACGAGGGGGGTCTAGTGGTTAGAGCGGGGGGGCCGCAAGCCAGCACTCCTGGCTTTTATCCAGTGCTGGGTTGCAGGGGCCTCTCCCCTGGCAGGCAGGGCTGGCCCCAGGGCGGCGCTAAGGTTGGGGGCAGGAACCTGCAGCTGGTGGGGCGGGGCGCTAACACCTGGGGATTATTTCTCTGCAATGACTCCAGGGCCCTTTGGACTCTGGTTAATCCACCCCATCCCAGCCTGTGAATGAGCCACTTCCTGACATGGGCAAGGCGGGAAGGGGAGGGGGGCAGCACCAAGCTCTTCCTGCTGCCGTGGGGGGGAAGGGCTGGAGAGGAGGCAGCTGGGTCCCATGCTGCTCGGCCGGTGCCCCTCACTCCCGACCCGCAGCCCCCTGCTAGCCCAGCCCTGCCGGTGCCCCTCACTCCCTGCTGACTTGGGTGGCTGGATAAATGCCCTACATCGGTTCACTTGATCCCCTAAGAACGTCCGTCCAGAGTGATGGGTGTGACAAAGTGGGACTGTTCTTAATGTTTCCTCTGAATAGTGTGGGGGTGCCTCAGTTTCCCCTAGGCAGTTCTTAAGTCTCTAGGGGGTGGGGTAAGGGTGTATGATCATTGCAGAGCCCTAGAGGGCAGGTGTGTGCAGGGGGCTGGACACAGAGAAGGGCCGACAACGGATGGCCTGGGCCCTTCCCCCCGCCAGGTGAGAGCTAAAGGGTTGGGGAACAAAGGAATCCGGTGCCCTCCTGGCTCGGGAAAGGGACAAAGCCCAGAGGAGGGGGTTGGGGGGCTGGAGGGAGTTTCAGTTTGGGGCTGGCTGGAGACATGGAGTGAAGGGCAGACAGGGTTGTCTGGCTCCCTGCCCCCCGAAATGGACCCAGCTGAGGAGTCCTGTTCTCTGCACCTACAAGCTCTGTGTTAGACCATGTCCCTGTCGTCTAATAAACCTTCTGTTTTACTGGCTGGCTGAGAGTCACGTCTGACTGCGGAGTTGGGGGGCAGGACCCTCTGGCTTCCCCAGGACCCCGCCTGGGCGGACTCGCTGTGGGAAGCGCCCGGAGGGTCAGGGGAGGCTGGAGGCTCCGAGGTCAGACCCAGGAAGGTGGAGCCGGGTGAGCTGTGTGTCCTGCAGACAGGCTGCTCCCAGAAAGGAGACTCCCCCAGAGTCCTGCCTGGCTTCACGGGGAGCAGATCCAGAGCATCGCCCGGGGACTCCGTGACAATGGGACCCTCTGGGACTTGGTATCGCTCCCCCCTTCCCCAAAGTTGAGTGGTTAGAGGGTGTGGCGCTGGGAGGCAGGACGCCTGGGTTCTCTCCCTGGCTCTGGGAGGTGAGTGGTTCTGTGGGTTAGAGCAGGGAGCAGGGAAAGACGCCCCCTAGTGGGGAAAGGCCCTGGCTCCCAGCCCCCGAACCCCAGGGCCCCTGGGGAGCTCCCCCACTCCGGCCAGGGGCCAGCAGACAGACAGACAGACAGACAGCCCCCGACACTCAGAGATGCTTTATTGGCGGGGGCAGCTTTCAAAGCCGAGGGGTGACACTGTGGGGTGCCATGGCCTGGGAAGGTAGGGAGGGGAATGGGGAGGCGGGGAGGGGTAGAATCGAGAGTGGGGCTCGGGGGGGGGCAGTTTTGGGGTCCATCATCTTGTTTCCCTCCCCCCGCATCGGCAATTCTCTGCTTCTGCCGGAGAGAAACAGAAAGACAAAGAGGAAAGTGAAACCACCGAAGAAACAATGTCCCAGCCCCAGCCCCATCCTCCATCTGAGCTCGGGGACCCCAGCCCCACCTCTCCCAGCAGGGGCGCTGTGGAGCAGGGAGCAGTAAGTGCCGGCTGTGGGGGAGCCCCTGGTGACCCCAGCCCCATCTCTCCCAGCAGGGGCGCTGTGGGGCGCGGGGCGGGAGCACCGGCTCTGGGGGCGGGGTCCTGGCGACCCCAGCCCCTCTCCCAGCAGGGGGCGCCGTGGGGCGCGGGGCGGGAGCGCCGGCTCTGGGGGCGGGGTCCTGGCGACCCCAGCCCCTCTCCCAGCAGGGGGCGCCGTGGGGCGCGGGGCGGGAGCGCCGGCTCTGGGGGCGGGGTCCTGGCGACCCCAGCCCCTCTCCCAGCAGGGGGCGCCGTGGGGTGCGGGGTCACCTGCTCAGCCCTGCCCAGGCCCCGAGGTCTCGAATTTCTTCTTCCTCCCCTCCATGCCGCTCAGGGCGTCGATGTTTTTGCGCCAGTCGCCCACTTCCCGGTTCTCCTGCGGGGGGTGGGGGGGAAAGAGGGTCAGTCCTGATACCCCGGAGTGCGGGGGCGGGGGAGGCTTCCCCTGCTCCCCCCACCCCAGCCCCCCCCCCGCTCACCTTCTCCGCGTCGTCCTTCTTGACCTGCTTGAGGTTGGCCCGCAGGTCCATGGACACCTTGTGCTTGGAGCCCAGCAGCGCCTGCATCATGGCGTCGGCCGAGAGCCGGACCCGCCGCAGCGCCGGCCGCTTGAACTTCCCCCGCAGGTCGAAGATCTTCTGGTTCAGATCCTCGATCTGGGGGTCGGAGCGGCAGGGGAGGGGGTCAGGTAACAATGGGGCGGGGGGGGGGCGCGTGGTGCAGGGAGTGGGCCGGGGGGCTCAGCAGGGACTGCTCAAACCTGGCAGGCAGATGCTGCCAGGTGGCACTAGGGGGCGCCGTGCTGTGGGGAGTGTGAGGTGGGGGCCGGCGTTTAAGGGGGCGGGGCTAAACCCCAGCCCCGCGGCGCCATCTAGTGACCTATTTTGTTATTGCAGCTGGAGGTTCGTTCCGTCTCTGCAGCCCTTTCGTGGGGTGGGCTGGGGGGGGGGGCCTCTGGCTGGTTTTTGGAGTCTCTGGGCTGGCATGGGGGTGCAAGGGGAGCCAGGGGCCCCCCGTCTTGGCCGTACCTCGTTGATGCTCTTGCTGACCCGAACCTGCATGTCATAGCGTTCCTCGTCCACACGGTCCACGCGGGCATGCAGCTCCCGGCAGAGATCCTGCGGGGGGAAGGGGAGGCGGGGGGAGAGAAAGGAGGAGAAAAGGGGTCCCCTCTCAGCCCCCCCTGGACCCATCCCCCCACCTCTCCCCGGGCTCATCCACGCCCCCATGAGACCCAGCCCTCCTCCCCCTGCCTGGGGGTCCGGGGTAGGGGGGTGGTTTACCTGCAGCTCAGCCAGGGGCAGGCTGGCCAGGGCGAGCGGGGTGCAGTGCTCAGCCAGGTACCGCTGCTTCTCCCTGCCCCGCTCCTCCTCCTCCTGCTCGAGCTCGTGCTTCGCGATCTGCAGCATCAGCGTCTGGGGGGCACGAAGGGAGCTGGGTGACACCCCTCAGTTGGACCCACAGCTTCCCGCCCCGGACCAGACCCACAGGCCCATCGACCCCGGCCTCCCGCCCCTCCCCAGACCAGAGCCACGGGCCCATCTACCCTGGTGTCCTGCCCCCTCCCCAGACTACACCCACAGACCCATCTACCCCGACCTCCCGCCCCCTCCCTGGACCCTACCTACAGGCCCATCTACCCTGGCCTCCTGCACCCTCCCCAGACCAGACCCACGGGCCCATCTACCCTGGTGTCCTGCACCCTCCTCAGACCAAACCCACGGGCCCATCTACCCTGGTGTCCTGCCCCCTCCCCAGACCAGACCCACGGGCCCATCTACCCTGGCCTCCTGCACCCTCCCCAGACCAAACCCACGGGCCCATCTACCCTGGCCTCCTGCACCCTCCCCAGACCAAACCCACGGGCCCATCTACCCTGGTGTCCTGCCCCCTCCCCAGACTAGACCCACAGACCCATCTACCCCGACCTCCGGCCCCCTCCCTGGACCCTACCTACAGGCCCATCTACCCTGGCCTCCTGCACCCTCCCCAGACCAGACCCACGGGCCCATCTACCCTGGCCTCCTGCCCCCTCCCCAGACTAGACCCACAGACCCATCTACCCCGACCTCCCGCCCCCTCCCTGGACCCTACCTACAGGCCCATCTACCCTGGCCTCCTGCACCCTCCCCAGACCAAACCCACAGACCCATCTACCCCGACCTCCCGCCCCCTCCCTGGACCCTACCTACAGGCCCATCTACCCTGGCCTCCTGCACCCTCCCCAGACCAGACCCACGGGCCCATCTACCCTGGCCTCCTGCCCCCTCTCTAGACCAGATCCACAAGCCCAGATGGGAAGCCTGAGATGTTACCTTGAGCTGTAATTTCCGAGATGCCGTTATCTTGGATTTTCTCTGCATTAGGACAAGCAGGAGAGTTTTCATTAGGTGTATTATGAGACCAGCTCAGGACCCGCCCCCCCGACCGAGATCAGGGCCCCGTCTGGCCAGGTGCTGCACAGACCCCCCCCCACGACCGAGAGGGCATCTGGGGCAGAGCCAGGAAGCAGCCCCAGCTCTTCGGGGTCCCAGCCCAGAGCCTGTCACGGGGAGCGCGTCGCCCCAGGCCCAGCGCCCACCTTGACGTGTGGCTCGGTTGCGTAGGCCCGGTAGTTGGCGGAAGATTTGCGCCGGAGGAGTGGGACGGAGGACGGCGGTGGGGGCGGGGGAGCCGGCTTGGGGGGCTCCGGTTCTTCGGGCCCCTCCTCGGCTGCCTCTTCCTCCTCCTCTATGACATCCTCCTCTTCCTCCTCCTCCTCGTACTGGGGGGAGGAATTCAGGGTGTCACCCCAGTTTGCACCAAGGTGCCGGGGCAAGCGGGGGAGGGGGACAGGTGTCCAGTCCCCAGAGCAACAATAACTCAAGGCCCCTCCTCCACCTACAGGCAATGACCCCGAAATATTTGGAAAGTGGGCGGAGTCATTTATCCGGGGGGGGGATACAGTGGGGGTGACACCAGCCGGAGCAACATCCAGGAGATTAAATATAGCGGGGGGCTGGCTGGCTAGGGGTTGTGAATGTGGCACGGGGCCTTTCCCCTCTAGGAGGCGTTGGCTCCCATCCGGCCCCAGGCGGGGACTGGCTGGCTCTGGGGGGCGGGGAATGGGGCATGGGGCCTTTCCCCTGTAGGGGGCGCCGGCTCCCATCCAGCCCCAAGGGGGTGGGGAATGGGGCCCAGGGCCTGTCCCCTCTATGGGGCACCAGCTCTGACCCAGGCCTGGGCAGGGGCAGCCTGTGAAAGCGGCTTTGATCTCACAGAACCACCCCCCACCCTAAGGTGCCGCCCCAGAGATTCCCCAGGTGTAGCAGGGGAAAGGGCCCCCCCCCCGGCTCCTCCTTACGGTGATGTCCTCCCTGCAGAGAAAGAAAGAGGGACAGCGATTAGGCTCAAGCAGCCCTTGTCTCCCCCCCGTTGCTGCCCTGGCGTCTCCTGCTGGCAGGGCCCAAAGCCCTTCACACAGCGATCGACCCTTCTCTGCCCCCATGAGCCAGGGGGATTTGCCCCCTTTCGCATACTGGGAAATGGAGGCACAGAGCGGGGACAGGGATGTACCCCCTCAAAAAATCACAGGGTCCTGGCTCCCAGCCCCCCCCCCGCTCTAACCACTAGACCCCACTCCCCTTCCAGAGCCAGGGAGAGAACCCAGGAGTCCTGGCTCCCAGCCCCCCTGTTCTAATCCGCTAGACCCCAATCCCGTCCCAGAGCTGGGGAGGACCCAGGAGTCCTGGCTGCCTTCCCCCTGCTCTAACCCGCTAGACCCCACTCCCCTTCCAGAGCCAGGGAGAGAACCCAGGAGTCCTGGCTCCCAGCCCCCCTGTTCTAATCCGCTAGACCCCAATCCCGTCCCAGAGCTGGGGAGGAACCCAGGAGTCCTGGCTGCCTTCCCCCTGCTCTAACCCGCTAGACCCCACTCCCCTCCCAGAGCCAGGGAGAGAACCCAGGAGCCCAGGCTCCCAGCCCCCCGCCCCTGGGCTCTACCCACTAGACCCCACTCCCTTCCCAGAGCCAGGGAGAGAACCCAGGAGTCCTGGCTCCCAGCCCCCGGGCTCTACCCACTAGACCCCACTCCCTTCCCAGAGCTGGGTAAGTCAAAAGCCAGTAACTCACTCGTCTGCCATCAGGAGCAGGTGGGTTTCACTACAAACAGCTGGGAGGGGAAGATGGAAAAATCTTATTTGCTCTGCACAGGGTCTGGGTCTGGGCTCAGGGGGCCGGGGAATGGGGCCCGGGGCCTGTCCCCTCTAGGGGGCGCCGGCAGGGATTGGCTGGCTCAGGCGGGTGGGGGGCTGGGAAAGACCCTGCGCTCGGGCCCGTTATCTCCCCCAGCCCCGGCTCCTTTCCCCTATTTGGGGCGGGAGCCGCTCGGGCCGATTAGCCCCTAAGTGGCTGCTGCTAAATATAAATCCCCTTATCGGGAGGGAGGGGGTCCCGAGCCAGTTCGGGGGCTGGGGGGATGGGACGGAGGGGAGCCCCCCCTTCAAGCCTGGGGGCACGGGGGAGCTCTGGAAGATTCAGCCAGGCCCTGGAGATGCTGCGATGGGGGAAGATGGGGGGGCAGCATTGGGCTGGGGGGCTGGGGTCCCCCACGCTCATCTGGGTTGAAAATATCCCCCTGCAGCCAGTCTCCCCCTCCCCGGAGTTGGGGGGATGGCGGGTCCCCTCCCCTCCATCCCCCCAGGGGTTAGTGGGGGGCAGGTGGGTCCCCTCCCCTCCATCCCCCCAGGGATCAGTGGGGGGCAGGTGGGTCCCCTCCCCTCCATCCCCCCAGGGATCAGTGGGGGGCAGGGGGGCAGGGGGTCCCCTCCTGTCCATCCCCCCAGAGGTTAGTGGGGGGCAGGCGGGTCCCGTCCCCTCCATCCCCCCAGAGGCTAGTGGGGGGCAGGTGGGTCCCCTCCCCTCCATCCCCCCAGGGGCTAGTGGGGGGCAGGTGGGTCCCCTCCCCTCCATCCCCCCAGGGATCAGTGGGGGGCAGGCGGGTCCCCTCCCCTCCATCCCCCAGGGATCAGTGGGGGGCAGGTGGGTCCCCTCCCCTCCATCCCCCCAGGGATCAGTGGGGGGCAGGGGGCAGGGGGGCAGGGGGTCCCCTCCTGTCCATCCCCCCAGAGGTTAGTGGGGGGCAGGCGGGTCCCGTCCCCTCCATCCCCCCAGAGGCTAGTGGGGGGCAGGTGGGTCCCCTCCCCTCCATCCCCCCAGGGATCAGTGGGGGGCAGGCGGGTCCCCTCCCCTCCATCCCCCCAGGGATCAGTGGGGGGCAGGCGGGTCCCCTCCCCTCCATCCCCCCCAGGACAGGGGCTCCCCCGGCCGGGTTACCCGAGTGTCCGGACTCCGGAGGCGGCGCGGGGCCGGGGCCGGGGCCGGGGGGTTAAGAAGGATCCGGAGCCGCCGCCCGCCCTTGTAGGGAACGAGGGGCGGGGCCGGCTCTGGGAGAGGGGTGTTGGGGGGCAGGGCCCGGCTCTGTGTGTGTGTGTGTGTGTGTGTGTGTGTGCGTCCCTGCTCTGCGTGTCCCCCCCGGGTGTGGGTCCCTGCGCCCCCTGCTCTGCGTGTCCCCCCCCGGGTGTGCGTCCCTGCGCCCCCTGCTCTGTGTGTCCCCCCCGGGCTCTGCGTGTCCCCCCCCGGGTGTGCGTCCCTGCGCCCCCTGCCCCGCGTATCCCCCCCGGGTGTGCGTCCCTGCGCCCCCTGCTCTGTGTCCCCCCCCCCGGGGGTGCGTCCCTGCTGCCCCGGGGGGGGGTGTCCCTGTGTGTGTGTCTGTGGCTCCTGCTGTGTGTGTCCAGCAGCCTGGGGGGGGGTGTCCCCGCAGCCCCTGTCGGAGGGGCTGGGCCCTGCTCCCTGTGTTTTAATCCCTAACGTCCCCACCAGCAGGCCCCAGTTCCCCTGACCCTGTGAGGGTCTCACGCCCTGCAGCTGCGGGTCTACGGGGCGAGCCGGGGGGCGGAGCGGGGGGGGCAGACTGGCTGGAGGAGGTGCCTGTATCCACCCAGGAGAGGTGAGAAGAGCAGGGCCTGCGCCAGGCAAGGGCGTCCCCCCCCCGTCCTCCCCCGGTTCCCGTTAGGGGCCCGGCGAAGACAGGGCGGCCGGGTGCCGCGGGGACACAACGTTCTTGGGGTCAGCGCTGACAGCCGGGGCAGAGCACCCCTGTGACGCTCTGTACCTCGGGGGGACACCCAGCACCCCCCTGTTCACCTTCATAACATGAGGGTGTGGGATCCAATGCAAGGTTTGCCACGCCGGGTGTCTCCGGACGGCTCATGACGCACGGAGCATGGCTGGGGCGGTGGTGTGACGAAGTGGGCCTGTTCTTAATGTTTCCTCTGAATAGTGTGGGGGTGCCTCAGTTTCCCCTAGGCAGTTCTTAAGTATCTAGGGGGGTGGGGTAAGGGTGTATGATCCTTGCAGAGCCCTAGAGGGCAGGTGTGTGCAGGGGTCTGGACACAGAGAATGGCCGACACCCTGTTTCCTGGCAACTGATGGCCTGGGCCCTTCCCCCCTGCAAGGTGAGAGCTGAAGGGTTGGAGAACAAAGGAATCAGGTGACCACCTGGCCTGGGAAAGGGACAAAGCCCAGAGGAGGAGGGGCTGGAGGGGGTTTTCAGTTTGGGGCTGGCTGGGACATGGAGTGAAGTGCAGACGTGGTTGTCTGGCTCACTGCCCCCCAAAATGGACCCAGCTGAGGGGTCCCGTTCTCTGCACCTGCAAGCTCTGTTTTAGACCATGTTCCTGTCGTCTAATAAACCTTCTGTGTTACTGGCTGGCTGAGAGTCACGTCTGACTGCGAAGTTGGGGGGCAGGACCCTCTGGCTTCCCTAGGAGCCCCGCCTGAGCGGACTCGCTGTGGGGAAGCGCACGGAGGGGCAGAGGATGCTGAATGCTCCGAGGTCAGACCCAGGAAGGTGGAGCCGGGGGAGCTGTGTGTCCTGCAGACAGGCTGCTCACAGAAAGGCGACTGCCCCAGAGTCCTGACTGGCTTCATGGGGAGCAGTTCCAGAGCATCGCCCAGGGACTCCGTGACAGGTGGCGTTAGAGTAATTGTTACAGGGAGGTTACAGTGAGGTTATGGGTTAGAATTTCATGGATATAGTTCTGAGGCTGAAAAGGCATCATCATGGCTTAAATCAACCCCAGGCAAAAACTCTCTGTGACAAAGTGGGAATGCTCTTAATGTTTTCTCTGAATACTGGGTGGGTGCCTCAGTTTCCCCTAGGCAGTTCTTAAGGATCTAGCTGGTGGGATAAGACAGTGTGATTGTGGCAGAGACCTAGGGGGCTAGTGTGATGGGGTCTGCACAGAGAATGGCCGACACCCCGTCTCCTGGCCGCTGATGGCCTGGGCCCCCCCTCTGCAAGGTGCCAACTGAAGAGGCTGGAGAACAAAGAGATCAGGTGACCTCCTGGCCTGGGAAAGAGAAAAAGGCCAGAGGAGGGGCAGGAGAGTCTCAGTTTGGAGCTGGCTGGGGAAATGGAGGGAGGCCCAGATGGGGCTCTGGCCTCCCTGCCCCCCAAGACAGACCTGACTGAGGGGTCCTGGTCTCTGTACCTACAAGCTCTGTGCTAGACCATGTTCCTGTCGGCTAATAAACCTTCTGTTTCCCCGGCTGGTTGAGAGTCACGTCTGACTGCGGAGTTGGGGGGCAGGACCCACTGGCCGCCCCAGGACCCCGCCTGGGCAGACTCGCTTTGGGAAGTGCACGGAGGGGCAGAGGATGCTGAATGCTGCGAGGTCAGACCCAGGAAGGTCGAAGCTTCTTGCCCTGGAGACAGTCTGCTCCCAGAGAGGTGGCTCCCCCAGAGTCCTGACTGGCTTCGTAGGGAGCAGATCCAGAGCATCGGCCAGGGACGCCGTGACACCCTCCAAGAACAGAGGGGCAGTTCACACCTCATCAGGGTATGGATGGGACAAACCCAGCCCAGCCTTAGAGGAATGAAGGACACTGGCTTAGGCCCTGTTAGACCCTCGAGGGAGTCACCCCCCTTCCTTTGGGCATTTTGGGATGCGATGAGGTAACGCTCACCTGACTCTGAAGTGGGTGGGGGGCAAAGCCAAGAGGAAAGAAAGCACATGACAAAAGGGAGACATTTTGCCTTGCTCTGTCTCTTCCACTTCCATCTGCAGACACCACCACCGAGCGACTGAAGCGCTGATCACAGGGGAGAGCCGGGCTGAAGGGCAACCAGCCAGCCTGTGGCGAGGCGCATCTGAGTTTTAAGGACATTGGAAGCGTTCAGATCAGCGTAGGATGCATTTTGCTTTTATTTCATTTGACCAAATCTGACTGGTTGTGCTTTGACTTCTAATCACTTAGAATCCAGCTTTACAGTTAATAAATCGGTTTGTTTATCCCACCGGAAGCAGCGCGTTGGTTTGCAGGGTGTCAGAGGCTCCCCTTGGGAGAACAAGCCTGGGACATAGCAATTGCTTTGTTAAACTGACCAACGTATATGAGCTTGCAGCGTCCCGCGGGCAAGATTCCCAGGGTTGGGTCTGGGACCGGAGATATTGGCTGGTGTCATTCGGTTGCACAGTCCAAGGAGCAGCTCACACGCCAGAGGCTGTGTGAACAGCCCGGGAGTGGGGGTCTCACAGCGGGGCAGGATGGGGCTGGCCCCCAGAGTCGAGGACTGGAGTGACCGAGGAGATCATCGGTCCGGACAACACCAGAGGGGAACGTCACAGCCCCCTACTGACCCCAGCCCAGTCCCTGCAGCCTAGTGCTCCCCACTGACCCCTCACCCACCCCCCCCCGGCACAGTCCCTGCAGCCCAGTGCCCTCCTCTGACCCTCATCGACCCCTCTGGCCCGGTCCCCGCAGCCCAGTGCCCCCCACTGACCCCCACTCCATACTGAACCCCTGGCCTGCTCCCTGCAGCCCAGTGTCCCCCACTAACCCCCATCCCTTACTGACCCCTCCGGCCTGCTCCCTCATCCCAGAGCCCCCCCCCCACCCCCATCCCTTACCGATCACCACCCCGCTCCCCGCAGCCCTGCAGGGAGAGTACCCCCTGCCGAACCCCCACCCCACTCCCTGCAGCTGAACAAACCACCCAAGCAGCCATGATTCCGGGGGGCGGATTTTATTTCCAGTCAAACCTCATTAACACCCCTACCTACAGAGCTAGGCCATGGGCAGACAGGCAGGGGCACGTGTGTGGGGCACCCATCTTCTGGGGGGACATCGGGAGCCAGGAGGGGGCGAAGCAGGCTAACTGGGAGGGGGGTCCCCGGGCCGCTCCTCCTGGCGCTGGAAGCGGGCCCAGGCCTGGTTCTGTCCCTCGGGCGTCCCGCAACGCGTGAAGCAGGCCCCTGCGGCCATGGCCGTCACCCGGTCGAGGAAGGCATCCACCTGCTCCTTGCGCACGTCAGGCAGGAAGCTGTCGGGGAAAACGGGGGGGTGGGGTTAGAAGAGGGGACGGAGTGGGAGAGCGGATCTGCCCCGCAACAGGGCCCCCCAGGCTGGCACTTACCTGGTCAGCTCAGTGATCAGCGTAGCCCTGGGGGCAGATACCAGCTGCAGCTCTGGGGTCAGGGCATGCACCATGCTGGAAGGCAAAGGGGGGCGTCACAAGGCCGGGTTGGGGAAGGCGGTTGGGACAGGGGATCTTCTCTCCCTCCCATGAGCCAGGGATGGGACCCAGGAATCCGGGCTCCCAGCCGCTCCCCCGGCTCTAACCCCAGAATCTCCTCCCATCTCAGAGCCAGGCAGAACCGCGGCATCCGCCCCCCCCCCTTTAACCACCAGACCCCACTCCCTGCCCAGAGCCAGGCAGAACCCCAGCATCCAGGCTGCCAGCCCCTCCCACCCCCCAATCTAACCACCAGCCCCCGCTCTCCTCCCCGAGCCAGGCAGAACCCCGGCGTCCGGCTGGCAGGCCCCACACCCCCATTTCCCCACTCTAACCACCAGCCCCCGCTCTCCTCCCCGAGCCAGGCAGAACCCCAGCGTCCGGCTGGCAGGCCCCACACCCCCATTTCCCCACTCTAACCACCAGCCCACGCTCTCCTCCCCGAGCCAGGCAGAACCCTGGCGTCCAGCTGGCAGGCCCCACGCCCCCATTTCCCCACTCTAACCACCAGCCCCCGCTCTCCTCCCCGAGCCAGGCAGAACCCCGGCGTCCGGCTGGCAGACCCCACGCCCCCATTTCCCCACTCTAACCACCAGCCCCCGCTCTCCTCCCCGAGCCAGGCAGAACCCCGGCGTCCGGCTGGCAGGCCCCTACCTGCAGGAGAAGTAGAGAAGGTGGAAGAGCTGGTGGTACTGGCTCCTGCAGGGCAGCCGAGCTGTGCAGCCAAGCGGCAGGAAGTGAATCCGGACGGGCCCGGGGCAGACGGCTTCTGGGTGGGATGGGGGGAAACTGACACTGATCAACATGGGGCCAGAACTGGGGGAAGGGAATCCCCCACATCTGTGGCGTTCCAGGGGCTGGACTGGGAAGGACCCCTAACACTAGGGTGGGGGGGCTGTGAGGCTAGGGGTCCTCTCCCTACGGGGGAAGGGCCAGGAGTCCCTGCGCTGGTGGGAGGCTGTGAGGCTGGGCGTTTCCTCCCCATGGGGGGAAGGGACATGATCCCCAGTACTGGGGGTCCTGTGAGACTGGGGGTCCCCTCCCCACAGGGGAAGGGCCAGAGCCCCCTTGCTCAGGGAGGAAGCAGCTGTAGCGTGATGTGTGATGGACCCAGGGGCTACAGGACAGACAGATGGAGCCAGGGGTGGAATCCCCCCAACTCTCCCCCCCCCGGCCCAAGGACTCACTGTGATCCTGGAAGTCTGGATCTGGATTCGGGGCAGGGTTCTCCTGGGCTGGGGCAGCCCCACTGACCACCTCTGAGGTGGGCGGCGGGGGGGTGTAGCGGGCCCGGGCTGCCAGTTCATGGAACAGGGCCGTGACATTGTACAAGGAGATCTCCTGGGCACTCTAGCAACGCAGAGGAGAGAGAGGTGAGAGGGGGGATCCCCAAAATCCTGCCCCATCCCCCCAAGATAAGGGCTTCCCAATTCTCCCCGATTCTCCCCCCTCTCCACCCCAGGATCAGGGCTCCCCAGTTCTCTCCCCCACTCCCCAACCTCCCTGCAAGGGCTCCCTCCCGCTCTGCGGGAGCCCCTCTCCTCGATGGCCCTGCCCCCCATTCCCCCAGGCGACCCCCTACCTTGGCGGGGATCCCATTGACAGTTCTCAGCAGACTCGGTTCCTCGGACTCGATCCCGAAGGGGAGGTACGGCCCTGTGCCAATGTCGCCCCAGTACCCCCGGGCTGGCACCAACTCCCCCTTCTGGACAGGAGGAGACAGGGTGTTACCCACCGGGGAGACAGATCCCCCCCAGATCCCCTCTGGGACTACAGCAGCCCCCCATCTGAGATCCCCCCCCACCATCCTCCCGGCCTCCGGCAGCCCCCCTCCAACTTCCCCACCTGCAACCTCTGCCCCTGTCCAGCCCCCTGACCCAGGCTCTTGCAGCCCCCCTTCTACCTCCCCCCACGGAAATAATCTTCACCCCTCTCCCT